TGTCTTCAGGGCAAAATAAAAACCAGTGCCCAGAGTTTCTGCTTCACATTAAAGCTTAGTCTTCCACTTCCCCACAACATTTTGACTTTACAGTAAACCCTCGATTTTTTGGACCTCGATTTAAAGGACTTCAGATTTAATGGATAAAATTTCCAGTCCATATATCACATGTGAAAATGAACACCCTGTTCATTTTAAAATGCTTTTAACCAAGATTTGCTTATAATTGAATTAACAGGTTATTTCTGTGTTAATTCACTGTTATTTTTAACAAATTTTAGTGAATAGGCCATATGTTGGAAAACACACTAGTAATTTTGCTGACATAAATAAATATTACATATCAACAACTAGAGTCTACATATTTAAATCCAAGAGTCAGCGCTCGTAAACAAGGCTCACATATTATTAGCATGTGATCACACCACACCAGGAGCAGTAATTGGCTCTGTTGTCACGTGGTGTGACTCTCTGCAACAGTTTCCCACATGCTGGCTGATGTGCAGACATGTGCTAAGCCATGCCCCAGCCATGGGCATGTTTTTCCTCAAGGTGACTTGTAAACAAATGCATTTACTAGACCTACTCAGTATAAATTTAAAATTACAGTAATACTGTCCTAGTCAGTTTGGCTTAGTTGATAGAGCATTGGTCTGTGGACTGAAGGGTCCTGGTTTCAATTCCTGTCACATACCTTAGTTGCAGGTTCCCCGGTCCTGCTCAGAGTGCGTGCAGGAGAAAACCAATCCATGTGTCTCTCTCACATCAATGTTTCTCTCTGTCTCTCCCTCTCCTTTCCATTCTCTCTAAAAATCAATGGAAAAATATCCTCAGGTGAGCAACAACAAAAGGGAAAAGAAAAATTGCAGTAATACATATAGACACCTTTCTGTGAAATTAAACTTTTCATACATACCTAATTTTAATTACACAACGGTGTATACATAAGTAAAAACAGGTAAACTGATTTGTCAATTTTTTAACATGTGCATTGGAAAACCTACTCTATTATATAATGGTCTTTCAGCTTGAATGGGCACCCCAGGCCTGAACAGTCCGTGATATGGAGGTTTTATTGTGCTGTGCATGTGTTTGCTCCTCCCTCTGCTCCATCCCTGGCCCAGTGACCTGTGGGGAGTGGACTAGCGGCTCTCTGGGGGACAGTGTGAAGCTGTAGCTTCCCGGGAAGCAAACAGGCCTCTGCTTCCCAGCTGACCACGCTCAGCAGTGTCTCCCCTGTGCTTCCTTTCTCATCAAGAATTGGCTCTTACAGTAACATGCACAGACGCAAAAGTTAGGTAGTGAAGAAGGCCACTGGGGAAAATGTGATTCACTGGAAATGTGGTGTTGGAGGAGACCTCTATGAGCACCTGGACTGCCAGAAAGACAAACATCCCGGTCCGAGAGCAAATGAAGTCCGAAACATCGCTGGGGGCAAAAATGACAAAACTGAAGCTGTTCTATTTGGGGGACATCGTGAGAGGGCAGGGTTCTATGGGAAAGACAGTGATACAGAGAAAAAGAGAAAGCAGTGGGGAAAAGGAAGACCAAGTATGAGATAGATGGACTCCATAAAATAAGCCAAAGACCTGAGTCCACAGGGGCTGAGCAGGATGCTGAGGACAGAACATTGTGGACGGCACTCATTCAGAGGGTCTCTAGGAGTCACAGCAACTCAACAGCACATAACACACACACACTTGCAAATAATGACCATTTTATCTTCCTTTATACCCTTTATTTTTATTTACTCACTAGGCTAGAAAGTACCACTTAAGTACCACTTTGAACAGTAATGGCAATTGCAGACACCCTTGTTCTGGTGCCTAATTTTAACGTTACATCTTCTAACTTTTTGTTATCAAGTATATTTCCTATACCTTGGTTATAGCTAAACTAAACCAAAATTGGTAAGATGTTTTCTTCATCAATATATGCTTAATTTTATTGAGGATTTTGCCAAGCATATAAAGAGATGGTCAGATTGTTCATTTCATCCCGACTCCCCCTTTAATCTGTTGATTTAGACAACTACATTAATGAATTTTTTAATGTCAATTATTCTTACACTCCTGGTAAAAACTCTACATGTACATCTAAATTTACTTCCTTCCATAAGTAAAATTGGATAACAGTTATTGAGTGTTTGTTTTATCTGCAAAGTATTTAATTTGTTTCAAGGGTTTTTTGTTGTTGTTTTTTTGTCAGTTTGTGGTATTTTTCTATTGTGATATCCAAGCCTCATAAAATGACTTTGTTTTCTGTCTTTTTTATATCCTGAAATTAACCATCACATAAGCACTTGGGACTTTTTAGGTTAGTTATAACTTTGCTATTAGGTTTCATTTTTATGGTAACTGACATATTTAGGGTTTTTTCTTCCTTTGGCTCTTACTAATATAATCATTTATAATTTTCAATAAAAATTTTCATCACATTTTGACTTCAAACCACTTGAAATAAAGGTTACCTTCTTTTATTATCTTTTACTCTTTACTAAATCCATTAACACCCACTTTTAAAACCCCAATGTTGTTTCATCTATTCTGCTAGAATTTACTTTTATATTTTATTAATATTTCCAAAAACCAGTTTGTGGATAATTTGATAATTCTATTATATGGTTTGTCTTACTTTCTATTTTAATAATTCAGCCTTCATATTGATTTTCTTTCTTCTACACTTTTGAATTTATTTTATGGTGGTGGTGTTTTTTACTTGCTTTCAGAGTGAATTCTAGATCATTTATTTTCAACATTTATTCCTCTTCACAAATAAATTTTAAGCTATAAATTGTTCTATAAATCTATCTTGGTTTTATAATACCATTATGGACTATAGACAAGGATAGAGAGTGAAGGGAATATATACCAACCTAAAAAAAATTTAATAGTCAAGAGATTAAAATGACATATGCCAAACATCAATGTTACAAGTAATTGTACTAATTTGAGAAAGTTTAGAATCATTTACAAAATAAAACAAACAAAATTTAATGAATAAAGTAGTTTTATTACTCCACAAAAAAATTGCTCTATTATGTGGGTAAAAATAACCAAACACAATTTTTCAATTGTGAGGCAATCAATTTCACAAGTCACAGCAATGAACTGAGTAAAGTAGAAATAAATTTCTGATGACAACCAACAATACTCAACAAAATCATTAGTGAAATTCCTTCTAAATTAAAATCATGCAGAAGACAAATTCCAAAGGAAAGAATATATAACATTAATTTATTTATTTCTAGCTTGACAAAAATTGTATTAGTTCTTAATCACCATTTTTTTTTTACTAAAAATACTTATTCTTTGTGGCTAGGTCTCTTTTAAGAAGAAATTCCCCTTCTTATGTGTTTCCTTGGGTGTGTCACATAGTCATACTCACAGATCCCCTTTGTTAAACTTCCTGCCAACAGTGAAAAATTCCCTGGAAACATATTTCAAGATGTGCTTTAAATAAATTAAATCCCTAAGAAAATGATGAGGGAATACCACCTAGGATTAATTTAAAATCATATTTTTAATTAATTTATATAGATGTAAAAAAATGTTCCATCGCTATTATTGAAACCTTTGTAATCATCTGATGACCTTCCTGTATTTCCTTCAAAGATGTCTGATTTACAACATTAATGATATTAAAATAAACAATGCCAATTTAATAAAATGTTAACAGAAGTTGTAAAATAACATTAGATCTATAATAATTATATCTATAAACATTCAATTGCCAACTAAAGTTTCATATAGTATAAAATTTCATCTTTCAGTTTGAACAGGTTGCTTTTTCATCATATGTCTTAAGGAAGGTCAGTGCCCACGCTGTTCTATAAAATAACACAGTTGGGCCTTTTCTCCGTCTCATTCATTTACTCAGAATTATTTAATCTTTCAACTCTGACCACACAGCCAACTCCTTCCTATGGTTAATTTTTAGGAGGTTTTTATACTCCAGCTTTTCCCCCTCCAAATCAAATTTTAAATGTAATAATTTCTCTCTGAGGTCTCATTCTTTTCCGAAGTGATTTCCCTTTAGATAACTTTATTCATGTGAACTTATGAAGTCAATGCTGACTCAAATAACTACAGTAAAGGATACAAAAATGTCTCTTTGGTAGCATCAATCCACATTTCTCTAATCATTGCTCATCCCTCTTAATTGCATTACCTTCAAATTCCTCAAATAATTGTGTTTCTTTTATAGACTCACCAATGAGTCTATTTAGCTTCCACTTTTGAAAACCTGTGTGAAAGTTCTTAGTCCTATCTCCCATGCCCTCAGCCACCACCTGTAATGTATCGTTATAATCATGGCTATTGTCATAAACTGGGCCTACATGCTCAAAAGTATTACATAAGCTCTAATGCCCTTGAAGTGCTAAATTCAAATGGAAATCCTGTCTTTCTCCTCAGTTTTAGTTACATTTTTGGTATGTAACTAAAAGAATTTTAAGTTATGCCTGGCTGGCGTGGCTCAGTGGTTGAATGTTGACCTATGAACCAGGAGGTCACAGTTTGATTACAGTCAGGATACATGCCTGGGTTGTGGGCTCGATCCCCAGTTAGGGGCATGCAGGAGGCAGTCCATCAGTGATTCTCTCTCATCATTGAGGTTTCTCTCCCTCCCTCTCCCTTCCTATCTGAAATCAATAAAAATATTTTTAAAAAAAAATAATTTTAAGTTATGCTAACCATACCTTATAGCAGTGCTGTCTGATAGAACTACTATGGGAATGTTCTATTATGTGCTGTCCAGTGCAGTATTTAATTGAATTGATTAATTATTTAATTAAATTTGGAAAGAGGAGTCAATAATAACTTTCAGTTTTTATCTCCATCCCTATTGCTTTCTATGACTTAAATGTCCAGCCCACAAAGCAAGCTGAGCTACCCCTCATATCTGAATCCTGAAGACAGACACTGCTTATCCCAAGCCAGAACCCCTGACACTCTTGAATGGTGACTGCAGTGCTTCATTTAGAAAGTCTGGAGAACTTATCACCACAGCATTCTACCCTTCTTCATCCAGCTACCCAGTCTATGATATCTTATATTCTACTAGAGGCCCGGTGCGCAATAATTTGTGCACTCGGGGTGTTCCCTCAGTGCGGCCTGTGCCCTCTCGCAATCTGGGACCCCTCAAGGGATGTCCACCTGCTGGCTTAGGCCCACTCCCCAGGGAATCGGACCTAAGCTGGCAGTCAGACATCCCTCTGGCAGCTCGGGAGCCCTCAGGGGATGTCCATTTGCCAGTGGGGAACAGGCCTAAGCTGCAGTCGAACATCCTTAGCGCTGCTGAGGAGGCGGGAGAAGCTCCCGTCACCACCGCTGTGCTGGCAGCCATCAGCCTGGCTTATAGCTGAGCAGAGCTCCCCTTGTGAGAGCACACTGACCACCAGGGGGCAGCTCCTGCATTGAGTGTCTGCCCCCTGGTGGTCAGTGTTTGTCATAGTGACCAGTCATTGGTCAATTTGCATATTACCCTTTTATTATATAGGATAGAGGCCTGGTGCATGGGTGGGGCTGGCTGGTTTGCCCTGAAGGGTGTCCCAGATCAGGGTGAGGGGCTGAGGGCCCTTTTCAGGCTGACCAAGCCCCCCAGCTGGGACCCTCACCCCATGGGGGTGTGGCCAGCCTGAAAACAGCCCTCAGCCCCTCACCTAGGCTGGCCAGGCACCCCAGCGGGGACCTCCACCCTGAAGGGGGTGTGGCCAGCCTGAAAACAGCCCTCAGCCCCTCACCTAGGCTGGCCAGGCACCCCAGCGGGGACCTCCACCCTGAAGGGGGTGTGGCCAGCCTGAAAACAGCCCTCAGCCCCTCACCTAGGCTGGCCAGGCACCCCAGCGGGGACCTCCACCCTGAAGGGGGTGTGGCCAGCCTGAAAACAGCCCTCAGCCCCTCACCTAGGCTGGCCAGGCACCCCAGCGGGGACCTCCACCCTGAAGGGGGTGTGGCCAGCCTGAAAACAGCCCTCAGCCCCTCACCTAGGCTGGCCAGGCACCCCAGCGGGGACCTCCACCCTGAAGGGGGTGTGGCCAGCCTGAAAACAGCCCTCAGCCCCTCACCTAGGCTGGCCAGGCACCCCAGCGGGGACCTCCACCCTGAAGGGGGTGTGGCCAGCCTGGGTAAGGGGCTAATGGCATTTTCAGGCTGGCCATGCCCGTGGGCTGGAAGCAGGTATCTGGGATTTATTTATCTTCTATAATTGAAACTTCGTAGCCTTGAGCGGAGCTCAGGACCGGCCAGGGCAGGCAGAAAGCTTGGCTTCCTTCATCGCCGGGGGCAACCCAAGCCTCCTGCTCACTCCAGCTCCGTGGCCGCTGCCATCTTAGTTGGGTTAATTTTCATACTTGCTCCTGATTGGTTGGTGGGTGTGGCTTGTGGGTGTAGAGGTAGAGGAGGTATGATCAATTTGCATGTTTCTCTTTTATTAGTGTAGATGGCTAAAGGTTACTGTTTCTTTATTCCCTGCACTATTAGGAAAGTACAACAGAAGATGGAGTGGCCATTGCATAAGGCTGTTTTTATTAACCCAAATGTCACTTTTCTGATGATCTCCAGCCAGAATAGTTGCCATTTCCTGCCTTATGAAGGTTTTCAATTACAAAAACTTCAGTGGATTTATGAAGTTTTCCAATGGCAAAATATTTGAATAATAGATTTAATACTAAATTTCAGGCTTGATATTTTTCATTTCAATTAAGTCAACATCTTTCCATCTATTTCTAATTAAATTTTCATTCCAAAAGTTCATACTCCAAATTTTTTCAGTTATTCTTAGTTTATATTATAGAGTGCATGCCCTCAGAGTAAGTACTGTTTTAGGAGACTCACACATGTGTGGGTGATCTTATCAGGTTATATACTTTAGAAAACTCTGACCTTTTTTTAGATTTATTAGGACATTTTAAAAATAAAGACTTTATTTTAAAATAATTTTAGATTTAATGAAAAGGTTTGATGATAAGTATAGAGTTTCCATATGCCTTTACCTGGTTTTCCCTAAAGTTAACATTTTATGTAACTGTGGTAAATTTGCCAAAATTAAGAAATGAACATTGGTGCATGATCATTAACTAAAGTACAGATTTTTTTCCAGATTTCATCAGGTTTTTCACTAATTTTTATTTCCTGTTCAAAGTTTCAATTCAGGTTATTACATTGCATTTATTTGTCATTACTTCTTAGTCTTTTCTGATCTGAACAGCTTCTCAGCCTGTTCTTGCTTTCATGACCTTGATCATTTCAAAGAGTACTGGTCAGATATTACATAGAATTTTTCTCACTTTGGGTTTGTCTGATGCTTTTTTCACGATGAGTTTGGGGTTGTGGGTTTGAGGGGGGAAATACCACAGAGGTGACATGCACTTCTCAATGTGTCATGGCATCTCTCATGTCATACTTGGGGCACACATGATAGTGACATGACTTTAGAATGGCAATTTTATCCTTGATCTTTTGGTTAAGGTTGTGTCTGCCAGTTGATTTTTTTTAACAGTAAAGTTACTATTTTACCTCTCCACACACTTTTCACTGGAAGTGAGACACTAAGTCCAACCCAACTCAAAGGGAGTGAGTCAAGTTTCACCTCCTGGAAGGATAGCATCTGCATAGATTATTTGCATTTCTTATGTAGGGAAGATGGGTCCTTTTTCCCACTGAAAGGGCCGGCGGGGCACGTGGCTCGGATGTAGCTCGCAGCCTCTGGGCTGGGGCTCCAAGGCTGGGCGGCTCCGCTCT